TTAACTTAAACTTATTTGCTATTTTCTCTATTTTAACTTTAACTTAAACTTATTTGCTATTCGATTTATTTTTAACATTAACTTTAACTTACTTGCTATCTAAGAAACATTTTTTTTTTTAACCATAGAACATATATACAATATATACACAAATTGTGAAACAATATAGTTAATTTAAAAGTCCACTGTTTAAAATAAAACTACGTCCAAAATTTAGTTCCGTCATGGGCCACATTTCTCCGTTCTCCGTTTTGCGTATTCCTTTCTCCATTCTCCTTTCTCCATTCTCCTTTCTCCGTACTCCTTTCTCTGTTCTCCTTTCTCCATACTCCTTTCTTTATCCGTTCTGTGTTCTCCTTTCTCCGTTCTCTTTTCTTTGTTCTTCTTTCTCCTTTAGAATATGTATCACGCAATTCTTTTTCTTTTCGAATTTCAAGAACACTAGTCTTCGGGAAACTACTCGCTTTACAGGTACCGTGGATCTTTCCACTTGCCTCCACCATTTCTGTTATGCGGGAAAGAGGGGGCAGGACAGACTAAGGCAGTTGCCTCCCCTCTCCCGCTGAAGGTAAAAGTGTCGTCACTCTGCTGTTTACATATCTGTGTTCACTATTTTAACTACGACAATTTGGGGGACTGTCGTTCGCGTTCTTTCGAGGCCTCCTGGTGAATAAAACAAAGATGTCTATATATGTTTATTTCGAGTCCAACCATAAGAGTAATTTAATCAAAATACATTAATATGAAATAAAAGAGTTTGATTCTTAAAATGAACTTGAATTAACAATTATCAAAATACTTCATTAATTAATTAAAATAGTTTATTATGATATTTATGGTAACGTTAATAAAGAAAGATTTCTGTTATAAAATAGTTACATTAAAAGATTAATAAGGTTACGTTATATTTTTCATTAAACAAATTTATAAGTTTACGAACCTGGTGAATAAAACAAAGATGTCTATATATGTTTATTTCGAGTCCAACCATAAGAGTAATGTTTGATTCCTTAGGGTTTCCTATTTTAAACCCTAAGAACACGTGCTGGTTGGACTTGTTTTATTCACCAATCAAAATGACTTTTAGAATACTTATTTTTATAAGAACAGTTTCTATTGGTTAGATCTCTTTTACCTTATTCACATTTTTACATAATTTGGGGTTACTATTTTTAATTACTAAATACCTTGTTTTTATGACCATTAGGGAAATCCGATTATTTTGGTTAGATAGAATTCTATGTGAACAATAGAAAAGAATTAATATATTTGCTAAAGGAAATACTTCTAAGAGTTTAAGCTGTCAAACCTTATTTATATCGCTAAGTGTCAAATAGGAAGAATTTCACATCAAATACTTATATATCAAAAAGTTACATAACATTATAGACTTTCTAATTATATCTTTTTATACAAAAAGCTTTATACAAGAATTATTTATTTTCTACAATTACATGTAAGATTAACTTAGTTTTATATGAAATATTAAAATTTATGTCTTTAAATATTTTACCTCAATTTACCATCATTATACTTTCCTAATGTTTAGTATTCGGTTTTTGCAGTAACTGTTGTTAAAATCAAAGTTAATTATATGCATGTACGACATTAAAACAATTTACCTAACATTGTTGTTTATAATAATTATAGCATACTATATATTTTCGACATTTAAGAGAATAGTTATGAGATTTTGCCAAGTCAGAATTTCAACAAAATTTCACGCACTTCATTTTGTTTGTGTTGGAAAAAGTAGCAAGCATATTCGTTAACATCAGGGCCTGCAGTAAAATCAACATACTTAGTATAGATGATGTGATCTTTCATTGTTTTGGTAACTTTGCTGATCGTTTCTATCTACATATAATGAAACGGTATGACTTTTCACATCCGAACTAGTTGTAAAAAGTATAAAAATCAAATGTATTGGGTCGATGGTTTTATTGTACGTCGTCCGACTAGTCTTATTCTAGAAAAAGAAACATGTCAATACACACGAATAGCTAGATATAACTTAACTGACCTCCTTTCATTATTTAACCACAATTTAAATAATAATTAGCTATTTAAAAGTTATCAGTTAAAAACAGTTAGTTAACACTTACATCGCCTAACTTAAACACTCAAGTGACTTTGAAAATGCACCATGGCTACAACAGATTTTGGGTTTAATCATTCAATTTAAATGTTTACTAGTTTAACCAATATGCAATTTGTTTTCTGTCTGGATGGTGTGGTGGGTGTTATCGTCCCCTGTAAGTTGGGTCATGGATTCAATCGACGGTTGATTTGAACCTTGATTTGTAAATTGATATATGCTGCTCCTGCATGAAGTACGCACCATTTAGGAGTGATATCACTGCATGTGGCTCGGAGTCAGAATTATGTGTGTGTGAAGGTGACATGTGTCTGCAGACCGCTTCTTTAAGAGCTAGCACGTTTAAATTCCGACTGGATGTTTGTATTTTATACAAAGAAGAATATATTCATTTCTCGTTAACAGATTTTCCTGAAATGGATGTAATTATTAATTGCTGCTGAATTATCGTTAAACGGCAACCAAGTCAATCACACGAATCCTACAGGTGCACAATAAGGTGTCCTCGAATATAAAGCTTGGTAAAGTGGAGATGTTGTACTAGTATTCGTTTATGACCCAAATACTGGGGTATAGAACCATGCTAAACTGTGGACTTTTCCAAATCGGCAGTTAAGAATACTATGCTAAAAAGGATTTCCTTTTGGCTGTGCGGGATGTATATACATGTACATGTATACAAAGCCAAGTCTATTCTGAACGGAGACTTGAAATCCGGTGCCTTGAATACGACACGCTCTCTGTACGCTTAGAACCCTTGCAACTTATCTCTGAGGGATCCAAATGTGGCATGTTGCAAGGCAAAACTATTTAGTCTCTACCAGCATATTCGCATTTTCGGGTAGCAACACCTTCCCTTTTATTTTTTTGTTAATTTGTCACAGTCCGGAATATGAATGTAAAATTTGTCACTGGACGTTAAGGAAAATACAAAGTCCAATCAAACAATATCGATCATGTCAAGAAAATGCGGTGAACATGAAATAACAACTATCGGAACATGATGAGGCTCTGCTAGTTTTTGACAATCCAATCCCTCCCATTTTTACATTCTAATTGTTCAATTTTTCACTTCCTTAGTATAAACGCCATATGACGTTAAACAAACAACAATCAATCAATCAAAATTCACATCATCATATCTTTATAGTCATCACACTATATATAGCATGAAATAAAACATTAAATATAATTTTAAATGCACCTGTCATCAGTTCTATTGAATGTTCAAAAAGGAATAAACCTTATTCAACTGAATGTATGATAATGGGTTGATATAATTTGTCATTTTATCAGTTAAATCTATTTATCCTGGAACCAGGCGACTATCTTGCATAAACATATACAAATATTCCACTCTTTTTTGTACTGGTACAAATAATTTTTTTAATTTGACATTGATAAAATAAAGTCTCATGTAATGATTCTTCCATGATGAACAAACGCAAGCGTCAAGATAAGAACAATTTAGAATAAAATATTAGTTACATAGTGTGCTAGTGACCTAATTCGAAAACGAATTTATCTTACCGAATATCTTAACATGTGGTATTTAGACTAGTGACCTATCAAAGTGATCAAGTCTTCAATTATGTTTAACTTAGTATTAAGAACCTAATTCCATTGGTCTATACAAAAGCAAATGCCAACAATAACAACTTGTTAGCTTTAAATGTGTTTTATGAATTTATTTCAATCGTTCATCAACAATTTCTTCGTCTGTTGAAACTTTTCAGATTTTCCCTCAACACCGTGCTGTTTTTTCATAAAGGGACGTATCACCACTACTAACCATGTATTGAAATAAGCCCCGCCAACTAACCCCATATAAAATATACACGGTCTCCACGCGGTTGCTTTTAACCAATCATATTTCTAGAAATGTAAAGGAGTTAAGATAATGTATATTGTCGGAAAATATGAAATGTGTTTGTACTCTCTACGAAAAAGGATACAAACTCGGCGAATCCCGCTTTTCCTCCTGTTAATTCTAAAGCTCGTACGTAAAAATTAAAAAAATTAAAAAAAAAAATTCAGACAATGTACATTTTATATTTATTGTATATTCACATGATTTTTTATTTTCATTTCAGAGGGGGAAAAAATCGTAGTAAGATTTTCTAATACTTAGTAATGCTGCTTGTTTCTCGATGTAAAGTGAAATGGATTCTGCCCTCAATTTTTTGGCCACCTCGATATATGATATGTCTTCTATTGACATTTTAAGATATTTCCATTTTCTTTTAATTAATTGAGGTTATTTCAATTTTGTTGTGGTTCCATGTAGTTGTGTTATTGACTGCTCCGTAGCTATAGTCTACTGACATGCAGAACAGCTGATCTTTATATTTAAAAAAATGTCCATATACATATCATGTACGTTGTAATGTGTTACTGTGATCAGATGGAAAACAAGTATCACGAGCCACGAAGATTAAAAGGTTCATATGAAACATTGAAGTCAAAACTACTTTTTTTTTTTTTTAACTTGTCCGCACCATGCACTTCCAGTAAATTCGATATCCTAAATACTTTCCTGTTTTGATGTCCAAAGTAAAATAAGATGCCAGATAAATTCAGCCCACACCTTAAATAAAACAGAAAACAATAAGTTCAGAAAAAATTCTGAAAAAAAAATTAAACTATTTAATTTCACTCCATACATGCACCGGAAACTGGAGTAGTAATATGAGCTTTCCGAATTCAAACTAATAACAACATATAAAAAAATGTTGCGTATGTATTAGTGTGTACAGTAGTTTTCTGTTATCTTATAAAACTTTAAGTTTCTTTAAGTTTCTTTATTTTCTAATTGTTTAAAAAAAAGGCCACCAATCAACAATTTGAAGCGCCGTTATTCGCGTGTAATAAGTAGTGTGACTTGCCAACTCTGTAGTATTTTTATAAGGGGAAGTAATCGTAATATAAACAAATCAACGCAAAGGTAAGAATTTACGAGAGTACATGTATTTTTAAGTGTATACAAACAGCAATTTACAAATACAAATTTGTCAGGAATTCCTGTAGTTGTAGTTTTCATTCTCATAATATACATAAAGAAAATAAGTTTTGACTCTTACCGAGCTATCCAGATAGTTGTATAGTCTGTATATATCATAAAATATTTTCTTTTATCGTCAGATCTATTTTTAGATAACGTTTTTACAAACGAGTAAAACAAATATATGAATGAAATAAGTGAGGCAAACGAATAATTTTATCACAATTAATTTTGGGGATTTAACTTCATAAATACAAGTAGAGATCAGTAGAGTGAAATAGTGACCTTCAATGCCAACGACATCCGTGTACAGTTAAAGCCGCGTGAAGTGTTTCAAATCATTTGCGTGAGATCGTATACATTCAAGTCTATAGAGTATTTTCATATTACCGTCTTTCGATTCCAGAGTATATAATTTTTCGACAGATGCCTATTCTGCGGTAAAACATTCTGGTACTCGGTCAAGTAAGAGCAGCTGGATGAAGTAAAATCGAACCTAAAATCAGTGCAATTTCGGGGAAAAAAAACGGTTTTGCGATGATTTTGTCGTTTAAAAAAACATAAACATGGTTTATAAGGTTTAAACTTGAAGCATATATGAATAAAATCACCTTCAAACATTACGCTCACTACCGTCTTTTCAGGCTTTTTAGTGCAACAAGAGGCATTCGTACTTTTAGAGTTTTCATAACTTCATGTTTTAAGACAGTAACTAACAGTAACTAGATAAAATGGGAGTTCCAGTATATCGTCGCTGGGCTTCCAAAATGTCGCATATGACTTTTTTTGGCTAAAACTACTTTTTGACACAAATCGTCTTGGCGGAAGGAAATCTCTGAATGGCTGATATTCCAAAATAGCTTACAGTTAGACCAATCAAAACATTTGAAATTAGACATGTTACAAAATTGCCAATCTCAATTGTTTGTAAAGTTTGCTTCCAAAATGTTGTTTTAAACTTGAAAATTGTTGTATAATTGCTTTGGGAATCAAATACTTGTACATTTCCTTATTTCTGTGAAAATAAATTTAGTTTTTGTATAATCCAGAAATGTCAAAGTTTTTATTTCACTGCTTTTACAAAAATATTCAAGTTCACATACGACATTTTGGAAGCCTGCATTTCGACCAAATTTTAAAAGCCTGTTTGTGAGATATTTTTTTTGAAAAATTAGTAATTTACTACATTTTGGAAGCCAAACGACGATATGGGACAAAATAGGATCAACTGGAATCCGGTTGTATTTACGCTTCGCTTAATGTGTAGTAGTCAGCCGGGTACCAGATTAAAATTATGATGTCCAACCTTAGGAGAAATAACTCTTACAGAAATTATTGAATCCAAAATCAAAGTCGGTAATATGAAAATGGACTTTTTATGACTGGAAGACGGACAATTGAAGAAACCAGTTTTACCCAAGAAACATGATTGATTGATTGTTGTTTGCTTAACGTCCAGTGGCAAATATTACATGCATATTCAGGACGAGAACAAATTTACAATATATACAATAGGTAATTCTTGTAATAGAGGCCGACTGGAATGAAGGGCTGGGAATTTGGACTACCACAGGGAAATGAGGGTAAATTGGATAGGGACAGAAATTTAGCCTTGCAACTCTCCACTTACGGACCCCTCAAACAATTATTGAAAGGGTTCTTAACGTGCAGAGAGCGCGGCACTCTCTCTGTATGCGAGGCATCGGATTTAACGTCTCCATTCTTACCGGACGTGGCTGCGAATTTATTCATCCCGCACAACCAAACGGACGCCCCACTTTGGCAAGGGTTTTGCTGCCGGGCGGAAGAAGACTAAGAGTGACCATATTTCTATTCCCCAGTTACCATTGGGGTCAACGAACATGAAGAATGACTATTCATCTATAAAACAAAGCGCTACCAGGAGAGCATTGAAACACCTGCATATGACTATTAAACCAGCAACACAATACAAATTTAAATGTTTTCTTAGACCGTCTATAAGCTTTGTTCGTTTTGTTTTTCAATGAATTTTTGGTTGATGGTAGACCACAATCTCAATTTTGGAAAACTTTAGTCTGTGAGAATAGGATTTATTTATTAGTTGTTATTGGCTTTTATATAGCTGTCAGTATGCAGCGAGTACTCGTGTTGTCACGAAATAGAAGTTCCTTCATACTATAAGTTCCAAGAGGAAGAAATATTCTGTAATATTATTTCCACTGGAACAAATATTACAGTATTTGTACCTTACGGTATAAAGGTTATAGAATATTTGTTCCAACAGGAGCAGATATTATGAAATTGTTTATAACAAAGTTTCCAGGGGAACTTCTGTTAGGCGGAACAAATATCCGTTGACAGTGCATCGGTGGTTTATTGTTTTTTTTGTTAACTGTTTTTTGTGCTTGGTACCGATTTATTGAATTAAGACTTTTGCAGCTGATTTTTATAGTTTGTTCTTATATTGTACTGTTACACCACTGTCCCATGTTTGGAGAGGGTTGAGCACTCACAAACGTTTAACCCCGACACATTCTGTGTATGCCTGTTCCAAGTAAGGATCCTGTAATTCATTAGTTGTAGTTGATTCATGCTAGTCATATTTCTTTTTCGTAAACTATATTGTTATGAATTAGGTCGTTAGTTTTTTCAATTGAATTATTTTATATTTTTCTTGTCGAGGCCTTTTATAGCCGACTATACAGTATGTGTTTTTCTCATTGTTGAAGCCCGTACTGTTGCCTATAATCCATTTTATTTGAACTTTGGTGGATAGTTATTTTTATATTGGGATGATTAAGAGCATTTTTAAAACTATAATATTATAATATATATATTCTTCTTATATATTTTATGATGGTATGATACTAAACCCCTAAAGGGAGGGATTGTGCTTGCTTTTCATATGATGAAGACATAATCTTTCAATCAGTTTAATTGAGGTCTGGAGCTTGCATGTCAGTAACTGCTAGTAGTCCTTTGTTAATTTATGTATCATTGTCATTTTGCTTAGTTTCTTCTGTTACCTATTCTGACATCGGACTCGGACTTCTTTTAAACTGAGTTTTACTGTGCGTATTGCTGTTTTTTTGTTTATTCTACATTGGCTAGAGGTATAGGGGGAGGGTTGAGATCTCACAAAACATGTTTAAACCCGCCGCATTTTTGCGCCTCTCCCAAGTCAGGAGCCTCTGGCCTTTGTTAGTCTCTTATGTTTTTTTTTTATTTTCTTTCTTTTATATGTTTCGGAGTTTAGTGTGACGTCCATTTTCACTGAACAAGTACATATTTTTGTTTATGGGCCAGCTGAAGCCCGCCTCCGGGTGCTGGATTTTCTCGCTGTGTTGAAGACCCATCATTGGTGGCCTTGTGCTGTTTTCTGCCCATTGTTCGGGTTGTTGTCTCTTTGACACATTCCCCATTTCCATTCTCAATTTTAGGCTAAGTCCTAAAGAGGTATGGGGACAAATTATCTTTGTCTTGAAGACATGTAGCTCAGTTTATAGATATTTATTTTGGCTCGATCCTTTTCCTTAAATTCGTGTATTTAGTGTTTACTCAGTCAAAACAAAAATATGTGCTTTAGATGTTTTGGTCTCTCATGTAGAATTGTCTCGATTATTGGCAATCATATCACATCTTCTTATTTTCATATTTTAGGGATTCCTTCTTTAGAATAATAGTGTTGGTCTGTAGGTATTTTTAAAAATAAAATTTAGAAACAATAGATAAAATATTGCAACAGTGTTAATGGTAAAGATTGCACAAAGGAAAATCGAATATCTACAGGTGATTACTGTTATTACTATCCGGCGGCGGCGTAAACTTTATATTTCAGATGATATAAGACTTGGATGTTTCATACCTTGCATGCAGATATCTTATGTTACTAAGTTTACGTCTGTCATGTGTTCATTGTCCCTGACCTCTTTTTCATGGTTCAGCGACTGCTTGAAAAAGAATTATGTTTTTTTTGTCATATGCATTTCTTACTTATTGCGAGTAATATGATAACTTAATTTGGTACATAGATTCTTTGCAACGTCTACATGTCCGTCAGACAGGGTTCACCTGACCTCTACCTCATTTCATGGATCAGTGGTTAATGTTAAAATTGTGTGATTAGGTCTGATCCTCAGATACTATAAGCAGTAGGTCAACTATATTCGGTTTATGGGATCATTATATTGTAAGGTGTACATGTCTGTCTGGCAGGTATCATCTGACCCTGAACTCATTTTCATGGTTCATTGGTCAATGTTAAGCTTAAGTGTTTTGGTCTGTTTTTCAATTACCATAAGCAACAGGTCATCTATATATGGTGTATGGAATAATTGCAAAGTGGGCATGTCTGTCTAACAGGACTTATCCGACATTGACATCATTGTCTCGGATCTTTAAAAATGTTAAGTTTATGTGATACTTATAGTAAAACCTTTATCTCTAAGACTTTCAACATAAAATCAATGGTAAGTTAAGGAGGCTAGACATTTCAGCGTGTGCACTCTTTTTTGTGATTTTTTCGGTTGCTGTCTCAGTGACCAAAACCCACTATTAATCATACAAAATATTACATTTACAGAACATGCACTGACGAGCGTTAAACCGACAATCATCAAAATATCAACTATCCAAGCAATCAATCAATTTACGAACTATGTGTATGTGTATTACAAAACAATTTTGTTGAAATTACACAATTTACAGAAAGTAATGCCTTGTTCATAAATTACTTTGTATCTTTGTTGCCATTATTTGAACTACCGGTACTTCTTATTTTACTACTATGACTATTATTGTACATTTTGTCTACATATTGACGAACAGCAATGATAACCTTTGTTATAATTGTAGGAAATAGTCTGTTTTTTGCTTTTTTCTATCTATGCGGTTTTTTTATCTTTCAGAAATGGAGATAAACAACCTTCCACCGGAATTACTTGTAACAATATTTCAACATCTCAGTAAAGAAGATCTAATATGGACGATACACAATGTGTGTACGTATTGGCGACACGTAGCACAAGCCGGGAATTTATGGACATATTTAGATGTTAACCGCCTCGTTATCGAAAACCACGGAAAACAGAAATCATTGTTAAAGTATCTTCTCGCGATTTTAATTCACGTTCAGTATGTGAAATCATCTTCAGATCGCTTGCTTCCTTTACTGTTAAAAAGTAAAGACACTTTGAGAAATATTCGACGAATTGATCTGGTACCTACAACTAACTCTTCCTTCCTCAGCTCAAAAGAACTGTTTAATGGCCTACGTGCGAAATGTCCAAATCTTAATGCTCTTCGCTTGAAATTTTATTCAGTGTCTCTTTCTGTTTTGAATCAAGTTTTTGATCTTAATTTAAAAAACGTTACCTTAATTCACGAACAGAACCTAGGAAACACACGTGACATAAGTAGTCGTGGTAACAGAGAGATGGAAACCGTCGCCATACTATTAAAGGAAAAGGCAAATGAAATCAGGAAAACCAAAAGAATTGAGCTCCATTCGTTTTCTAGCGATTTTTTAGCACCGGTCTTGGAATTAAATTTGTCAAATCTGACCCGTCTGACGGCATTTGGAAATTTCATAAAGGATAGCACAATACACACAATTCTCTTCCCTAAAACAAACATAACCGAGCTGTGTTTAGATTTTTCAAATATTACTGACCAAAGCTTAAATGAAATAGCTGAAACTGCTACAAATTTAAGATATTTGTCATTGAAATGCTGTAGCAGAATTACTGATAAAGGAATTGTCATGGTAACAAAATCCTGCAAGAAGTTAGAAAGACTTAACATTCGGAACTCAATGTCGAACGGTAGGCATTTTGCTTCTAATTTATCTCTAGGTGCTATTGCTCCGGGATGTACCTCCCTGAAAAATGTGTCAGTGCAATATTTGTCGACTTTCGATATTGCTACTTTAACGGCTTTGACGCAGTCATGTCGAATGTTGACGTCACTCAGTTTCAATGACTGTTGCAGCCTGTCTGACGCGTCTTTGGAAGTAATTGGACAAAACTGTCCAGTCTTGTTTTCTGCAGATTTCAGCCAGTGTCCGGAAATTACATTGGACGGCGTTAGAATCTTGTTAACACGCTGCCTTGCAATGGAGAATATAAGCTGTATGGTTTGCGATGGAATTACAAATTTTTCCCAAAGTTCAGAGACACCACCAAAGGAAACCGCCACGGAAGTTCTTAGAAACGAGCATGCGCAGCATGGTAAAGATACGGCTACTCTGAGGGAACCAGATGATGAAGGGAAGCTGAAATGTTCACAACTTAGGAACTTCAATCTGTCTTACTGTTATAATTTGGAACCGGAAGCACTTATTGTGATATCAGAATTATGTAGAAATCTACGCATGATTATTTTACGTTTTTGTGAAGGTCCAGTAAATGACGTCAACGTTGATATTTTACGTTGTGTTTTTACAAATTGTTGCTTCCTCGAATACATTTTAGTTGGTCCTGGATTAAATTCTACAGTACAAAGAAAAGATATTTTAATTTAACAAAAAAAAAAAAAGAAATTAACTTTTGTGTTATTTTTGTAAGAATATACCATATGAAACATATTTACATTATATGTTTATACTTTTATATGATTTATTTATACAGTTATGTCCGAAGTGTTCTGTAGCCCGCTTGCATGTATTTTATTGGAAAAGGCAGTTGGAGGTCCAGAGGAGGGATGCGTACAGGGCATACCCTGTTTCTGATCGGCCAAAAAATAGAATCTTATGTTTATCGAGATTTGTATGATTTTTTGTATTAGAAAATCGTCCCAAAAAATTTGTTTTTTTTTTAATTTCGCCCCATTTCAAAAAATCCTGGACCCGCCCCTGAATAGCCTGATGAACATAGCAATTGATAGTTTGTATAAACTGCCAGTCAACTGGTAGATTAAACAAAGGAGGGTTGGAATATAAAAAATACTGGTTTAGCCATGTGCCTTTGCCAAGTCAGGAACGTCGAAAGTGGTTGTCTTATGTCATCGTAATGATTAGATTTAACTGAGAATTTGGTATAATTTGGAGGAGATTTCGGTTATACGCCAATGAGTTTGAGAATTTGGTATAATTTGGAGGAGATTTCGGGAATACGGCAATGAGTTTGAGAATTTGGTATAATTTGAAGGATGCATTCCGTGTATACACCAATGAATGTGAGAATATGGTATAATTGAAGGAGATTTCGTGTATAATAATAATAATAATAATAATAATAATAATAATAATAATAATATCTTTATTTAAAGAGAGTAACTCATTTGGATTAAACCAATTTTCAATAAGGCTCTCTACATACAATATCAACTACATGAATAAAACATAATTAATCTACTATTACACACATATAAACAATAGATGTATACATATGTATACACAAATATAACAGAAAAAAAAACAAAAAAAAACACCTATAGTATACACTGTGGCTCAACTTATAAATTTCACACTTTTAAAAATATAATGACTTGTAAGAGTATTTGAATGCAGATATAGCTTTTGATTTTTTTAATTTCACTGGATAGTGAATTCCACACTTTTGGACCACTAAAAGAAAAACTTATTTTGTATAATTCTGTTTTTGATTTAGGGACAATAAAATTATCTGATGATGAAAGTCTAGTATTGTACGATTGTTTACTATTTGTAGGCACAATAAGATTTGATAAATATTTTGGTGCCAGTTCATGTTTTGATTTATACATTAATGAGTTTGAGAATTTGGTATAATTTGAAGGAGATTTCGGGTATACGCCAATGAGTGAGAGTTTGGATTAATTTGAAGGAGATTTCGTGTATACGCCAATGAGTGAGAATTTAGTTTGATTTGAAGGAGATTTCGTGTATACGCCAATGAGTGAGAATTTAGTTTGATTTGAAGGAGATTTCGTGTATACGCCAATGAGTGAGAATTTAGTTTGATTTGAAGGAGATTTCGTGTATACGCCAATGAGTGAGAATTTAGTTTGATTTGAAGGAGATTTCGTGTTTACGCCAATGGGTTTTATAATTTGGTATAATTGGAGGTATACGCCAATGAGTTTAAGAATTCGGTATAATTTGAAGGAGATTCCGGGTATACGCCAATGAGTTTAAGAATTCGGTATAATTTGAAGGAGATTCCGGGTATACGCCAATGAGTTTAAGAATTTGGTATAATTTGAAGGAGATTCCGGGTATACGCCAATGAGTTTAAGAATTCGGTATAATTTGAAGGAGATTTCGGGTATACTCCAATAAGAACAAGTCAACCTTAAGACAAAAGTAACAAAAAGACCAAAAAGAGACCAAAAACAAAGACTTCAATAAACGACAGGTGTCTAAACGATTGAATTATAAGTTCTAAGTCTAAAAAGGTTTATATGATTTGTGAATAAATTTTACAGAAACAATAAAAAGTCTGCCATCAACTCTTAATTCTTTTAGCAATATTGACAATTTTATTGTTGGAGGGAAACAGAATACGATTTAAATTTACCCGAACAGAACCACAGACCTTTGGCAGGACAACAGGCAATCCTAGTCAATTAAGATCGGACTAAAAAACACATCTCGTCAACATGGTCAAGAGCTGAATTGGACCTCACAAACTATGTGTTGACAGGCTAGTAATCTAAGTTGAACTAGATAGACCACTCGGCCATCAATGCCCCGCCAGATCAATCTTTCGTAAGTACAAACAATGTTATTGATATATTATTGTGTATTTTCAAACATCAATAGAAACAATATTCATATTCACCAATTGCTTAATACAAACAAATCTCCTTTTAATTATACCAAATTCACGAAATAATCTTATCACCCATTGCTTGCACAACATAGGAAAAATACATGTAGGGATTACATATGGTCGTCATATCCAGATCCGATCAGCGCTCTAAAGAAAAGTAGTTTCGGAGCAAAACCGATCAACATGATCAAAATACGGAGTTTCATAGGGTCGTAAAAAACAGCTGTCATGTTCCTAAATCCCCCGTAGTCTAAACAGTGATTTAACAGGTAATATCAAAGTTCCACAGAATTGCATTTTGTTATACATACACAATCGTTTTCCTTCTTTTTAGTTTAAAAAAGTATTTCTCATTGAAAACATATAACAATAAAGTAGTACAATTTTACATAGCAGTCAAATATAGTATTCGGAAAAAAGTTTGAAAAAACTTTATTAAATCCGTCATTTATAGATCCCACTTTTTTAACCTCTATATCCCAATTCCCACTTTTTAACACCCTATTTCTCTCACCCTCACTTTTTACCCCCTATATCCTACATCCCAAAAGCGTGTCACTCTCTCGAAATCACTACCAAGTCGAACATATCAGATGCTCATGTTCCAGCGGATATAAATGTTAAAAATCACTTTTGAATACAGTACAAGTAATTATACTCTTGTTTAATAGTTCTATTTTTACAAGCATTTAATTACAAGCAAAACATGATAGTTAGCAATAATTTTTCCTGATGTTCTTATCAATATTTCATTTGATTTCTCTCCAATTATCAAATGAAGTATACAATAAAAATCGATGAGACCTGTTACTATAAAGAATATTCAGATATTGTAACAAACAATCTAAATTGAAGTTATATTTGTAATTTAGGGAAATGGAAGGAGAGTTCTGGGATAGTTGTTGTTTCAATGTGGAGATTGAAAAAGTCGTATCACGGGACATTTTTCTCTGCACATGCCGTGATTTTACACAGACGAATTAAGCAGATGTTATGATTTAATTAGATTTCCACCTAAAAAAAAGTCGACTACGCTGTTCATTGACCCCCTCGCCCTGATGAAAACCTTCCGCGAGGTGAAATCGTCTAAATATTCATGTTTTCATGTAGTCGATGTTGTACTGATCCCAATGTTGCATAAATTTCTGACGTTATCACGTGACGATTATATGTAAAATGAAATCGAACACGGTAAAACGGACAATCTAGGAACTAAAGAACATGTATTAGTGAAAAAAAAAAAAAAAAAAAAAAAAAAAAAAAAAACACCAAAAAGAACATATTTGAATTAAACAATTGTAAACTCTACTCCAGGGAAAAATTTGATCCTGTCCAGTACTATTGTCAAAATTTCAATTAACATGTTATTGAGTAAAACATAATAACAATCACCGGAAGCCAACCATCCAAACTTTCGTTCCTTTTTTCCTGTTTACAAGGTTTAATAACCATGTCTCCTTTTTGTTCTGCAATGTAATGCAGGGTAAATTTCCTACAACTATCAAATTCAAAAAAATGTTTTTTCGACCCTTTTTAGCATGAAACCGGATGTGACGTAGTATGTTTTGTTGGTGTTACACCTACAACGCAACTGTCTACTGTTGAAGACTGTTTTACCACTATATGTATACGTGGTTTGCATTGATGTTTGAGTTGTTTGGTTACCATGGTTACTGTCACGAGGATCTACAAAGGTTGGGCTCTTATTTATGTGTTACTTAGTTTTTGGGGCATATTTTTCGTTTTTTTTTTAAAAGTTTACTCATTATTCTCTGATCTTCATAATAAAGCTGTCATTTGTTCTCTATTCTTTATATTTTTCGCCTTTTTTTTTAGGAAAGTAAGTACCCAACAATAAACATGCAATATACTCGATATTTCACGCATCAGACTTATTCTAACAGTTAATAACTACCGCGCTGAAGTACGTCCATTATTCATTATTCATTATTCAAAATTCAAAATTCAATAATGAATACTGAAAAAGTTCATTATTCATTATTGAACGTTTAGTAATAAATAATGAATAATAAAATAGTTCATGTTTCAGTATTCAAGTTGAAAAGTGAATAATGAAATAGATTATTTAATTATTATTTGACTGTGACACTATCCCGTATTTCTGAATTTGCCATTTTTATGTCAATTTACATATTTTCAAATTGATACTATTGAAGCTAGCGATTAATAGCTAGTGACTGGTCAAGCTTTGGACAAATAGCAAGTTACCATAAGTAGCGAATGGAAATAAAGGTATGATGTATCACATGGACGTTTAGCTATCAAGCTAGGTGTTTTGTATACCTTTTATTTCTGGTGAATGCTTCGGTCACGTGGCTTCGGTATTGACATGATGTAAAACACACTTTTAGATTCACCGTTTAGAAATTAAGATATTATTAGAAACTAAAGGATCCGAATATTTCTTTTTTTCTAAACTGAAGTACTGTTTTAAATTTATATAATATCCTCGATATATGATGATTTGATATCAACAAAATTTCAAATACAGACTTTGTGAGAATAATAATTTAAAAAAGGCGGAAGAAAACCAAGGGGAGATTAACGGACAATGACAAAAAAAAAAAGCCGACGAAATGACAAAATAAGACCATGAAAAACTACATAGAATCTAAAGATTGAGCAACCAGAACCCCACTTGATTTTATCTCAGTCGGTCCAGAAATATAAGCAGAGTCTGTGCCATTTTCGGAACCTGTCGTGTTGCTTATGTAAGTACATATTCGGTGATAAGTTATTTCCGACTTAGTCTTTCATAAAACTGCCCGTTTATAAATTGATAAATTGTTTAGAAACTAAAGGTTCCAACCTTCTCTCTCTTTCTATGATTAAAGTACAGTATTGATTTTTTTTTAATATCTCGTTTAATAATTATTTGATATCAACAACATTTCAAATATACTTAGTATATTATGATTAAAATTCAGATTTATCGGAACTCGCGTGGTCATCGAATTTTTCAATTAAATTGCATATTATTTGAAATATTATTAAAAACTTTACCAAAATAAATGAACAGGATGGTTTTAAACAATTGCAAACTAGAATTTAATTGCAATGACAAATTAATGAAATATTCAGTGAAATATGAAGAAAAAACAGTTTCGTAATAGGAGAATTTAATTAGTTAACCGAACCTTTATCGTGAAGTTATAAATTAAAAGGATACAGCACAACGAAAGCATCCGGATTCCATCCGGGTTTAACTCGGAAACGGACAAAATCTGAAAGCGCAATTCATGTTATTTCATACTGTTCATCTAGTAGAAGGCTAATTATCGCAAAACATCTGAAATATCAACCAGTGATATGGATAACTCGATAGGAAAACTTTTGTGTAAGAGATCCATGTATGTACGTTAACAGATCACATCATGTGCACTTACATCGTCTACGTCAGCACATGAATTTATTAGTAAATGTATACTTAATAGAATCAATTAACTAGTACATTAATCGACAATTTTACAAAGTCTACATCATGCGTAATTCTATGACTTTCGATAGTCGTGAAGATTAGGAACAAGCGAAGGAATATTGAGAGAAATGAATGCGTGATATTTTCATTGCGTTGCACTTCATTGAATATAAGAACCTTTTTTTTTCACGTAAAATATCATAAAAACTTAGAAAGGACAAGTTATCATTTACATAATCTGGATATTTTATTTTCTCGTTAGGTGACAGTTACATCTTTTAAGTTTTAATTAAAAGGACTGAAGTTATAGTACTGGAACGAGAAACCAAGAAAAGAGCCATATAAAAATGGGACAGTCAAAAGCGATATTCCTATTTATTGCTTTATCAACATTTCAAATTAACTACGGACAAAATTGTAAAATTGACCGAAAAGAAATCAATGATACAGTTGAAGGAAAACAGTTGACGCCCTTTTATAAAACGTTTTTTTCTCTTGGACCACAAGCCTGTTTTAACGAGTGTATCCGGAGAGCAGACTGTGCGTTTTTCAACTTCAAACGGGAGTCGCGTTTGTGTGAACTTTGTAACAATACAAAGGGATCATCTGAACAAGATGCCACGGGCTACTTCTATAAGGATGTAACAAGAGAGAGAGGCGTAAGTTATTTGTTAGTTATATTTAGTATTACAATTTAAAGTTTAAGAATAAGCATACAAATAAAAAGTTGCAAGTAAGAAAAATTAATAAGTTTAACTTTTCTCCGCAAATTTGAATATTTGAATTCATTGAAAAAGACAGAACGATGTAAATGTAGGCGCTTATACAGGTCATACAGGATTTTTAGGATATTGAACGGGGCGCGACCGTAACAAAATCCATAAATATTTTTTTAGACGTTTTTATGGCCTAAAATAGTTTTTTGGCTGATTTTAGGGAAATTCCCAATGGTTGTTTTAATTCGCCGGACGCACCCCCGCTTGAATACACTTCTGAAATTACACAATGAAACTTACACGTCGAGAAAGTGCAGACGACACCATTGCCCGAAGAAAAAGACAAAAATATGCCAAAAGGGCAGACAACACCATTGTCGGTAGAAAAAGACAAAAATCCACCAAAACGGACAGACAACACCATTGTCCGTAAGACAATAATCAGCCAAGAGGACAGACAACACCATTGTCCGTAGAAAAAGACAATAATTCACATACAATCTACATGTATTTACTTTTTAGTATATAATAAACAACCATTCTGCATAGCTGTATTTAAGTATTTGTCTGGAGTCAATAAAAGGAGAAACAAGGAAAGCAACCCAAATACGGAATTGGTCAAGACACTCAGAAGTCAATATACAGATTTCATCAATTGACGAGATGTATCATTGTTTTTGGGGAATTGGGGGTATCACCATTGCTTATTTGCATTTTTAGTATAAGTTATCAATTTCTTATTTCTGCAATAATTGTTATTTTGGTCTCAATTTTTACGACAATAACAATATATCCGTTGCTAATGGCAACCTGAAAGACATGGGAAACGATAAACATTAACATAGATTCCAATATTTTAAGATTGACCAACCAATGGTGCTATAGCAGGTGTTCGAGAAAAATGTACGTCGTTTGCTATGTAATGACATAACATATGCTCCTAAGGACTGTCCAAAGTTCAAAATTTAGTGGAAATAAAAAAATGTCTTGACTCAAAGTTTTGGTTGAGGATCGTTAACAATACCCCCCCCTCCCCCAAACAAAAATGAAAATCATAAAAAAAAGATAATCATTATCTATAGAGTCTCATAAGTCTTTATAGGCTGGGTGCTGATCTTTTTTTTTTATGTAATTGTACTTGTAAATATTTACTGTTGTGTAAAATCAATACGTGACACTTTAATAAAATAAATTTATCTTATCTATTATCATCATATCATCATTAACAACTAAAATTGAGAATGGAAACGGAGAATGTGTCAAAGAGACAACAACCCGACCAAAGAGCAGAAAACAGCCGAAGGCCACCAATGGGTCTTCAACACATTTTCCACCCGGAGGCGGGCTTCAGCTGACCCCTAAACAATAATGTATTCTAGTTCAGCGAAAATGGACGTCACACTAAACTCAGAAACATATAAATGAACCAAAATTAAAAAAAAACTTACAAGACTAACAAAGGCCAGAGGTTCCTGACTTGGGACAGGCGCAAACATGCGGCATATTGCCAGAAAAGCGTTAAGAAAACAACACCAAGTCGCTTTTTGAAAATTTACGCTTCTATTCAGATATGTTGATAAAGTATTACAACCTCTAAACAATAATAAGGCTATAAACCAAAAATTAAAGCAAACAAAAAATACTGTTTAAGAGAATACATGACAACTTCTGGACTCCTTTATTATAGGCCATTTCAGAATATAATGCATTTTGGGTATTATTTTCAAAAGCGTACACCAAAACGTTGTCATCGGTTCAACATTTCTTCAACAATGGATACTCAACCAATGACGTGACGTTATTTTTATTTATGGGTACGATAAACGAATTTACCCATAGTCCTTAAGATTCTGAAACGGCGAATTCTAAGCGGGTTGAGAACTCGAAACTCCAAATGATTTCTCTTGTATAGTACATTGGAATTAACTGAAAAGGGACATATTGTATAGGCTAACAAATTAATGTTAGTGCGACCAAAAGAAAAGTAAATTTTTTTAATGACGACAAAAAATCCTGCAATCAATTCGGAGAAGGCAAATATTTTTCGATTAGTTTAAATATGAATGTGACCACGGTTATTCTTTGTTTTAGGGGCAAAACGATCCATGCGCAGGAACTTCCTGCTCCAACGGTGAAATATGTATTGTTCTATACAACAAGAGGACAGTTTGTATAGTAGGTACGTAAAGAGTAGAGAAGTTCCGAAATGACTCTGTCAAAGAAAAACCCTAATGCCATAAATGTTTATGATATACACCTTAGTACGGTCAAACATCACAAGGTTTATTGTTTTTCCGGTTTAAAGCACTTCTGTGTTGTTAGATTGCTGGCTCATTGACGTGATTCCACGCGTTATCTCATTAAAAACTGAAGAACACGATGTCCGTTCAAAATTGATTTAAAGTAGATAACATTAACTGGTAGGGAATACTTGATAATGTAGACAAAACAACAACAACAACAACAAAAAAACCAAATAAACAAACAAACAAAAAACGACCATATTCTAATTTTGACTTTAAAACAATAACATAGATTTCGCAATGAACAATAATAGTTATTACCCGAATGTTTAGATTGATGTACGATTTATCTTTGTATTGGACCATTCCATTTAATATCTGAAAAGTATGTAGTATGTTTTTTCAGAGTGGTATCAAAAGTTATTTCGTAGGAGTACTGATTGGCTCATAATGTATCTGAGGGTACCCATTTTTTGTATCTGAGGGGTCATAAATATGTACAAATGAGGGATTGATGGCACGATTTTGCATCTGAGGGATTGACATTTGCCTGAAAATGTTTTTAGGGGGTTCTTTGACAAGGTAACTATCCATTCCTCTTTTCTTTTATTAAATGGAATGGCCCATTACGAGTATGACACTACGAATAGATACAATTATTTCTGCAGGAATGACTTTACAGGTATTTGTATTGTTTCTTGGAAAACTGTCGAAATACACCGTTCCTGTCGGAATTTTCGAGATAAAATCCTTTATCTTCTTAATTTTATATTCTGGGAGGGGAGATTTTGGAAAAGAATATTCTGACTTGGTAATGTAGGAAAATAAAAAAAAAACTTTGTCAAAGACAGAATGTAAATTGATATTTTGTCCAACAATATGCAGAATAATGCAGTAAACAATTCTGTACAATATAATTGTGAAATATACATAAATGTTCTCGCGATTTCCTGTGCAAAGTAAATAAGCGGTACTAGCAAAAAACGAAAATGTATAGTCTTTTGGGAAAAAGACAATCATAACTCCCTTCCCCCGCCGAATATTAAATGGTCGGGATATAGTTAGAATGAAAATTGAGATATTTAATACATTCATTTTTTTTACAGACGGTTGACAGTCGTCGGCAGAGAGGATTCTTGTAAGATTTGCTGGTACAGAACACCTAAGGGAGTTAACTCTTAAAAATCAGCTGAACGTTTTAATCACATACTATTATTGAAGAGAAATCAATCTTCTCATTGATCAAAATTAGTTTTTGTCAAACTGCTATATATCCAATGAAATTATTACTGTAAATTGTGTGGTTTAAATTTCTTGAAATTTTTATATTTTTGTCAGCAGTCCAAAGCTAGTATTTTGTCAAAAGTTAAAGAAAATTAAACGAGCCAAATTTATCTTAGTCAAAGTGTTGGTACCTCCTTAATACGATAAACACGATGAAAGGGCGACTGTACTTATCTATTTGATTATACATTTTTTTTAATGTAAGTGTAATACTTTGTAATAATACCTTATAACATGGGAACTATTATATTAAAAGTTTAGTATGAATAAAATTGAATATAAAACACGACAGCAAATATGCATTTATTACAGCAAATATGCATTTATTACAGCAAATATGCATTTATTACAGCAATTTGTTCGAGGTTGGAACTGTCAGAATTTGTTCTCGGTTGGAACTGCCAGATTCTGTTCTAGGGTGGAACTGTTAGAAATTGTTTCAGGGTGGAACTGTCAGAACTTGCTCTAGGATGGAACTATCAGAATTTGTTCTCGGTTGGAACTGTCAGAATCTGTTCTAGGTTGGAACTGTCAGAATCCGTTTTTAGGATGGAACTGTCAGAATCTGTTCTAGGTTTGACTTTCAATCTGTTCTAGAGGGAACTTTCAGAATCTGTTTTAGGGTGGAACTGTCAGAATATGTTCTAAGATAGAACTGCCAGAATCTGTTCTAGGGTGGATTTATCAAAATATGTTCTAGGATAGAACTGTCAGAATCTGTTCTAGGGTGAAACTGTCAGAATCTGTTCTAGGATGAAACTGTCAGAATCTGTTCGAGGTTGGAACTGTTAGAATTTGTTCTTGGTTGGAACTGCCAGAATCTGTTCTATTGTGGAACTGTCAGAATTTGTTCTAGGCTGGAACTGTCAGAATTTGCTCAGGGTGGAACTATCAGAATTTGTTCTAGGGTGGAACTGTCAGAATCTGTTCTAGGTTGGAATTGTTAGAATCTGTTCAAGGGTGGAACTGTCAGAATCTGTTCTAGGGAAGAACTGCCATAATCTGTTCTAGGGTGGAATTGTCAGAATCTGTTCTAAGGTGGAACTGTCAGATATGTACTAGGCTGAAATTGTAAAATTTGTTCTAGGCTGGAAATGACATCAACTATAGGTCAACGTACAGCTTTCAAAATGCACAAAATCCAAACATTATAGTAAGCTTTAAAAGGCCACGAGATGACAAAGTGCAAGTAATTCAAACGAGAACTTATCAATTAGAAACACATGATAATGGAAAATATATTCTCCTTATCACATTCATTTAGCATGTTACCAAAACATGCTCTGTTGATAATGCGGCCTAACAGTAGCTTATGGTTGCGACGAATCTCAACATTTATGGTAGAATATAATGTTTATTACACGAAGTGTGTCACATGTGGAGCATTATCCCTACCAGAGCACCTGAGATCCCCCCTGGTTTTCCTGGTTTTAGTATGGTTAATATTGCTCAGCCTACAGCTTTCTAGGTTTTAGTTTTTTTATATAAATAAGAAGATATGGTATGAGTGCCAATGGTACAACTCTCCATCCAAGTCACAATGTATAAAAAGTTAACAATTATATGTCAAAGTACGGCCTTCAACACGGAGCCTTGGCTCACACCGAACAGCAAGCTGTAAAGGGCTCCAAAATGACTAGTGTAAAACAATTCAAACAGAAAACCAACGGTCACTTTTCAAGAGCTCACTTTTTAGTGTATCATCACCTAATGGTACTGAAGTTGACATTGTTACACCCATTGTTGCCGTAATTGGTATATATACTGTAAATTCATAAATTATTGCGATGTTTTTATTAACGTGAATAATGCGACTAGGTGAGTATAGCAGTCAGAAGAACTTGCATTCTGATATTTGATACATATATCTGTATACAGCTTTTCCTGAAATCACAATAATTTATCTCACATTTTTGTCCATTCTTGAAAAAAACAAAACCACTGAACAACAGGCGCCTGACTTAGGACAGGTGCATAAAAATGCAGCGGGCTTAAACGTTTTAACAGGCGCCAACCTTCACCCTAACCTTAGACAGTAGTGCAACACCACAACATAAAACGACACACTATAAAATATTAATTGAAATGGCTTAACTCGATCAAAAAGACATTTAAACAAGAACAAGTAAACATACACTGAACGAATAAGTTTGATCTATGACACAATATAAATACAATATTGAAACGTAGGTGCCTATATAACTTAGACGTTACAGGTAGTAATGAAAAAGTAGGAAGAGTGTCAATAAGACAACTCTTACCTGGGACAAAATGACGTTAAATAAAACAAGGTACACAGGTAAATTTAAATATAATAATTTTGTTGTTGGGAGTACGGACGGAGTAAATATTTTTTGCAAAACTAATAAATTTGTTGCTCAGAGTACGAGTACAGAAGTGAAAATTTTTCGTCATACTAAATACTTATTAAAGTTGGTACATATTAAAAATAGTGAGACGAGATATAACACAAAATAAGTAAACAATGAATTACAGAAATGCATAATAAGTTGTGTCAACAGGTCAAATTAACACGAAATAAAATTGAGAATGGAAATGGGGAATGTGTCAAAGAGACAACAACACGACCAAAGAGCAAATAACAGCCCAAGGCCACCAATGGGTCTTCAACACAGCGAGAAAATCCCGCACCCGGACGCAGGCTTCAGCTGGCCCCTTAACTAAAATGTGTACTAGTTCAGTGAAAATGGACGTCACACTAAACTCCCAAACATATAAGTACGATTACAGAGTACTCGCAGTACTGAAAGCTAGTTTAAAGCCAAAAATAATTAACAATAAAAAATCATCCATCAGAGACTAAAATCAATTAAAACACATTTAGACTGTTTTTATTTTTATTTTTCGTCGTTTTTGTTTTTTTGTCAGATAGTTTTCGACTTATAATTTGATTATCACTTTGGTATCATCGGCCTTTCTTTAACTACGAAGTTACGTCTGGGAGGTTTGACAAAGATCCATTTAGAAAACCTGGTTACCACTAATTATATAATAGTTATTGAAGAACTGGTCATTATCGTGATATATGGACATTGTACATTTTTATTATCTTCTTGCGAAACATCAAACACAAGTTGCTTACATTCAATCGACAAACCTCTGGAGATTCCTTTATAAATAGTACTATTTTCTGAGTTACCTCCCCTTAATTCGTAAAGTTTAAAAGAAAAAAATCAATATCAAGGTTAACTATTCTACTTTTGTAAAAGAGTGATTTATTTTAGCTTTGTTCATTCAAATGAAAATTCTTCTTTAAGTTATTAAACTGGAATCCTGCATTATAATTAGCCGACTTTATTAAAAAACTAGACCTATTGTGTTTTACAATCCAAGTTTGAGGAAGACACCCATCCAACCTTCAGTTGTTGGCAAAACTAGGACGAATTTAAAATTCCCGACCGTACGAGACCCTCATGTGTACTCACGGTCGGTAAACACCCCCTAGTAGAATAAAATAAAAATAAAAATGCTAGTCAAACTGGTGAAAACGAACCATATTTTAGTCTTAGATGCATGATTTTTTTTTAATTATTTGTTATTAGCTTTGAACTAGCTGTCAGTATCTGCGAGAACTCTCAGATCTGTACTTAGTGTCTTTTTGTTGTGGGGATGTATAAGTACCCTGCCACGTCCACTCTGTTTTTGTTAGATGTATTTCTGCTTTGTATCCATCTGATGAGTTGTATGTGCCTGTCCCAAGTAAGGAGCCTGTAATTCAGTGGTTGTCGTTTGTTGTTGTATATCATTTTTGTTTTTCGTTCATTATTTTGTACATAAAACTGGCCGATAGTTTTCTCGTTTGAATTGTTTTACATTTGTCATTTCGGGTCATTTTATAGCTGACTATGCAGTATGGGTTTTACTCATTATTGAAGGCCGTACGGTAACCTATAGTTGTTAAATTCTGTGTCGATTGGTCTCATGCGGAGAATTGTCTCATTGGCAATCATACCACATCTTCTCATTTTTATATGATATAAACTCATCATTTTAGGCGATAATTGCTCTGAGTAGGGTCTATGGTTTATTATAGGAAACTCAAATAAATTCCCTACAACATATAAAACATACAATAAAACATAATTCATACGAACTAAAAACGATAACTCTAATTATCTTCACATCAATAAAACACACCTGACCGTGTATGATATATAGAGGGTGAGCAGTGATCCTCTATAAAGTCACTGTATGTTTTCAAAACTTCACATACTGGAATCTGAATATAAAGAAATATTGACTCCAAAAGTGAAGCCTAGGTGGTCGTGTGGTCTATCGCGTCGGATACAGTGCAGGCGATTTGGTGTCACGATATCTCAGTAGCATGAGTTCGAATCCCGGCGAGGGAAGAACAAAACATTTGCGAAAGGCAAATTTACAGATCTAACATTGTTGGGCTGATGTTTAGACGAGTTGTATATACAGAATGTACACAGCCATGTATCACCATCACTGCTGGTGATCCGATGGATTAATCTGTTGTAGAGTTGTCACTGGTTCAGACGTACTTATATATATATATATATATATATATATATATATATATATATGTCGAAATCCGGATATGGTGTACAAAAAATCTTTGCACCTTTGTTTGCGGTATACCATCTTTGCCGCAAGTTTATTCTTTTCTGTTTGGTATTAAATTTATAGTTAAGATCCATTTATTACACCTTGTGATCCGTTTATTTGGCAATCGCCAATGGCAGTCAGCAGGATTTAAGAACATTTGTTGTTCGACCTGTTAGTCAAATGCGTTTTGTTAAAATATACTTTTTCACTTTTTTGGTCTTTTGGAAAATGTTGTTTGTGCTGTATTTAGACCCCTCTAACAAGAAATTTGTTTTGCATGCACACGTATAAAAATTGCGGTTTTTATCCAACGCAATCATAGGTTTGAACGTTGTTTTCAATTTAGACTTGTATATATATATATATATATATATATATATATATATATATATATATCTTTTCCGCAAGTTTATTGTTTTCTGTTTAGTATGAAATTTATAATTAAGATCCATTTATTACATCGGTGATCCGTTTATTTGGCAATCGCCAATGGCAGTCAGCAGGGTTTAAGAACATTTGTTGTTCGACCTGTTAGTCAAATGCGTTTTGTTAAAATATACTTTTTCACTTTTTTGGTCTTTTGGAAAATGGTGTTTGTGCTGTATTTAGACCCCTCTAACAAGAAATTTGTTTTGCATGCACACGTATAAAAATTGCGGTTTTTATCCAACGCAATCATAGGTTTGAACGTTG